CGGCATCTGCATTCGATTTTTGCAGACCTCTCGAGAGCATCGGTACAAAGCCGCTGAATTGGCAGCTAGGGCCTCTCTATCGGCCCAATCTCCTCAGTCTAGGCTCAGTGCCGGGGCAAAGGAAATCGCCGCCCATGCAGCTGAAGCTGTCGATACCTCCCAAGATGGAATGTCAAAGTATATCTCGAATCTCACCTACCATGTCATGGTCTTCTGGTTCTTGTCTTTGAAGCTCCAAGATCGACCCAAACATGTGAACTGGATCACCAGCAGGCTCATCTATCATGACGAACATGGAAAAGAGGTGGTAGAAGAACAAAGCCAAGTATTTATTGATTTGATGCAGCGAGTAGCTTATTCGGATCTCGGAGAGACCATCCCCTTCGAAACCTTCCCTCCTTCACCTGAGGATGGACCGGTTGCAAAAAAGTCCTGGATTGTCGGCATGAGTATTGTCACCGTCGAGAGTGCCGGATTGTCTGGATTGTCTCAGATAACGAAGCGTCAGGCATCGGGCACCACCTACTCTGTCTATCAACAGCGGACAGCCCCAGTTCTGCCGCATCAAGTTCCTCCAACTCCAGATGCCCATTTGCATTCCGACTCCATGCGCACGGCAATCCTTCCGAGTCATATCATGCTTCAACTGACTGCCACTGCCTTCCCTACACCTACGGTCATGCAGCCCATCCCGGTTCCGGAAGACGACATCACTCGACGTGCGATTAGTAACTTTGATCGCACTGACATTGTGGATGGTCACCGGATCGGCATTGTTTATATTGACAACGGCCAGACAAAAGAGGCGGATATTTTAGCCAACACTGGTGGTTCTGCAGATTATGAAAATCTGCTGTCAGGATTGGGAACCAAAGTATCGCTTCGGAACCCCCAATTCAATCCGCAAGGATTGTATGCCGATACTGATGGAGAATACACCTACGCTTGGCGGGATCGTGTGACTGAAATTGTGTATCATGTTGCAACGATGATGCCTACGGATTTTGACCGTGATCCGGCCTGCGTCAACAAGAAACGAAACCTTGGCAATAACCATGTCACCATCGTGTTCAACCGATCTAACCTGCCCTTCAACTTTGACACAATTCCATCCGAGTTCAACTCTATCAACATTGTCATCACCCCGTCCTCCCGGATTGCCTACGACGAAGGTGGCCATGCCAATGGCGAGACAGACCCGCAAAAGCTCTACTACAGCGTGCAGGTCCTAAGCAAGCCCGGATTCCCAGACGTCTCACCTGCTGCTGCACCCAAGATCATCTCTGGCAAGAACTTAGCAGCCTTTGTTCGCATTCTTGCTCTCAATGCGTCCGTCTTCTCGCTTGTCTGGAACAACAAGGGTGGCGAACATACCTCATCCTGGACCACCCGTCTGCGAGAAATCAAGAAAGTCCGCGAGCGGGCTCTCACATCCCAAAGCCAAGGCTCCGAGGCCGCCGAAGGGGCTTATCCAGGTCTACGGCGGAATACCAAAGCCAACATTTTCTCGGAGGAATTACCCTCTCGTGCACCTCAAGTACAGACCGATTTCGCAGCGGAATGGAATGCAGCAGCCGACACGAACATTCTCCAGAATTTGGATTTCTCACGCTGGGCCCGGTGATCCGTCTTTCTTGCCGAGAGTCTTAATGATGATAATCTTGAACGAGATGACCTCTATGGTCTATCTTCTTCTCCTTTTACTGCCCGTATCTACAAGACATCCTCTCCTCTCACTTCCATCCATTCTCTCATTATCTTACACTACCTCACCCCCTACCGAGAAATAACTGAATCCCTTCCCTTCTCGATGACCAATGACCCCTATAAACGACTTCATGTACATCATCTTGTGTTTTTTTCGTGATGCAAGACAATTGTTGCATTTGTGAATACCCCCTTCCCGCCCCAAAAGTTTTTTCATTACAATGTTGTGCCTGTGAGCGACTGTCGCGATTAGGATGATAGTTTTATTTAGTGAAATAAATCAGTGTTTTATACTGGACTTCATGTGATGATGCCTTCTTTTCGAGTTAACATATTTATTTCACAAGCGAGTAGTCCATCTCAAAAGACATGGTGTATACGAGTTCTATCTCAGTAACCACGTTGTTTGGTTTCATTGTCATTCGAAAGCTACTGATGTGCCTTTTAAACACGACATACCCGATGTTACCACAGCCTAATTATGTACCTTTTGCTAGGGGGTCAGATATAAAAGGCACGGCCACTCATCTGTTTTCTAACCTCAAATATTTTCAACCTTATCTATATTTAGAACAATATGTTACTACATCAAATCCTAACGATTTATAGTATGTACCTTTCCTGTGTGAATCTCTAACAAAAGGCACATTTGACATTAGGCAAGAAAGAGTATCCAAGGTTGGGTTACTTGAAAAGGACCCGACATATATCAATTTTATGAAATTTGGAAATTTGTATAGTGCAAAGCTAAAATATATATATCGCTATCACAAAGTCATAAATACTTTACTAACTCCGTGGGAAAGCTACGTATCACCCAAAAAAGCCTTCAACCATTGGGATAACTCCATCGTTGTTGAGATATCAAGTTGTAATTACTCGCTTGTGTAGACCACATTATCCATTTTTAACCCAGCTCATCACTATAACGTCAGAGTAATCCAGCAGCCTTTGCTATCCAGCACTGGCACCGTCTAATGCTATACCAAGGCCTAGGAATCGTCAATGCAGATACTACAAGCTTATCCCGATGTTATGCATTTGTTTATGAGAGAACAGTCAAGAGAATAGTGAATTCTATAGCTACAGCCTACTAACATGTGTTCTACATGGATTGACTGTGGAAACAAAAAGTGTTCCTATGACCTAGCGGTATGATATGAAAGAAAGTGGCTCCGCGTCTATGATCAATCCAGTTGACTCTGTACACTAGAGGTTCTTTTCTTCGCGTGCACGCTTATTTGCACTTTCCGAAAGGCTGGTTGGCCAATTGCTGTTGTAGAACGTAATTAGCATCTTCTTCTGGCTTTCAGAAAGTGTTATATCTAGAATCATACCACGCAGAGCTGGGATTCACAGTTACCCAAGCTTCCATCTTGCTTGCACTGTCCTCCAGAGGGGATCTATTATTGTGTTAGATGAGTTGAACAAATGGTAGTAATGAGACGATTCATACTGAGGCAGCCATGGAAAGACCAGCGAAGGCGAGAGCAGTGAAGATGGCGAAACGCATGATGATAGTGGATCTAGAGGTTGAATGAGGATTGTTGAAGATTGTTGGAGATTTGTCTGTTACGATGTATCAATCCAGGAGCATGGGAGGCCTACTTATACCTGTTTCTCGGGGGTTATCTGTAACCGAGATCTTCTGATACATTGCTTTGTTAGGTGTCAAAGATGTTCATACCGATTAATTATAGACGGTAAAATGAATTTTATGGGGCTGTAGAAAGTTGATGTCGATCATGAACAGGGTTGAACACGTGAATTGTTGTTGATCATCTATAGTTGTCAACAGTTTTTCCTGTAAGAATGACACTTCACACAAAGTAGACAACAAGTTCCTTTTCGCAACATGATGCTCTTACATTCTTATTGTCTTATTGGAATTGAGGACTCTATGATATGCATTGTTTACTACAACATACAGTCATGTTGTGAACAGGTGAACAAGCCACATATGACGTAATCCTACTATAAAGCCACGGACTAGAATGAACGGAGTACTCCGTACAATATATATTGCAAGGTTATATGAACGTCACCTTACGGTTCTGAGTAAAGCCGGCAAACGTTGTAGAATAGCTAATAATAGGCCACTATATCCGATGCACGGGCTTCGGGGAACAGTCGGAAGCATAGGGCTGTACCTATACCCGTGCCAAGACCATATAGGGGGGCTTAGCACAGTTATGTACGTATAAAAATACAAAAATAGCATTAGAATAGTTTAGATCGAAAAATAAAGAACTGATCAGATCGTACTTGTCCAACCAAAGCAAACCTTCAACAGCAGAGCCCCCTTATAGCCCCATTAATGAGTAGACTAAGTGGGACCATGAGCTTCTAGAATATCAAAGTTTGACATGTTCTATACTAAGCGGAACATAGCAATCTATAGCCATGTAGGGATTGATTTAGAGGTTTGCACTTCATATATATTGCTCTCTCGACTTGAAAGTATAGAACGGCGACCACACTCTTTTTGTTTTACGCTTCTTTGATATCCCAGGCCACCCTCACTGTCTTTTTACCCTGTCTCTTTGGCAATTACATTCTTTTTTTGGGATCCTATACTTCTTCAATATCCTATCTCTCTCGCTTGCTATCATAATGTCCTCAATACCAGTACCTAAGGACCATTCTAGGCCTCTCCCAGTGGTATGGGCTCCTTATAATTGTTACTATGTGAAGAATGCTAATGGCTTCAACCCCTGCTCCAGTGTGATACTTGCTTCTCTCGAAAGGTGTGAAATGAGCTTTACTACTAATAAGAGATCATATAAAATACGAGAAGTTGCACTAACCAAACATAGGTCCGTTGTGACAGAGGCAATCCTTGTGGTAACTGCCAGGATAACAATACCACATGCACTCGTCAGCGAGTCATAAAGCGAACTAGAAAAACCACTCGGCTAGCCGTGGTGGAAAATATAGTTCGAACACCAAGCTCACCCCAGGCTACCCCAAACCCCCAAGATTCGCAAAATTCATCACCGGGACTGCCCGACTTTTCTTCATCCAATGGATATTCCAGCCTGGAATATCAACAGTCTCATGGCGAATCTCCGAGTTCCGATAAGCCTCTCTCGCTTTATGATGCTCAGGCTACCATTCAGTATCACCTAGATCATCTGGAATGGCTCACCATCAATCGCCGCCAGATCTTAGAATCAGGGTTGGAGCTGGCTTCTCAACTCTCGGATAGCTTTGAGGATCCTGTTCACGTTGGTAGTGACATCACTACCAATGAAGAACAAATTAGATCCCCTTCTTTTGAACTTTTAACCTGGATGTTAAAGGGTACCTCTCTTGTTCCTTGGTGATGCTCGATGAGACTGGGTAATTCTAATACATTTCAGCAGACATCAAGGAAGCGAACTTTGGCTCATTTGTTATGGATTACTTCAGGCACATATCCGAAGCAACACTCATGCAAATGGGACTCGCTCTCCTTCAAAGGACAGGATCTCCCCACGACTTGCTCATCAACACTGTTTGTGTCAACGCCATAGCCTCGAAGTTCCTCGCTGCAATTACCAACACTGGAATCGACAGTGAACTGATTCACGAAATGACACACAACATAGTGCAATTCCAGGAGGCAGCAAAAGTAGCTCTTCGGAGTATTTCTATCTTAACCAGTCCTTCGCTGGGACTCTTGCAGGCGCTTCTTTCTGGTGTGAGTATTTCCAATCCTGGGAAGAATGTATCGGATCTAATGAAAATCAGATATTCCTCCATCAAGCATCCGGCGACATCACTGTATGTTGGGAACTTACCAAAGCAGCCTGTAGGGTATGTATAAGTCTGGGTCTTGACACGATCATGAAAACAGGAGGTGTCGTGAGCGAAGAGCAATATTACTGTGTCGCTTGGTGCTATATGCTGGATAGAAATTTTGCTTTCAAGATGGGAAGATCCAAAACTTTACTCGATATTGAGATCGGACACTTCATTTCCGACCAACCCGGCCACCAGCACCCCACCTCGGATCTGTTCCAAATTTACATGACTCTTGCTAGAGTACAGGCTGCTCTCGTGCCGTACCTTAGGGGGCGCTCATCAATTCTGACTGGTGATTTATCATCTTCCCATGGAATTGGGAAACTTTGGTTGGTGAACATGCAACAAATTCGAGAGAGGATCGACCATGTAAGGAAACTACTCAGTCGGCTTTTTACTTGCAACACGGACTAATGACTTAGATATCGAGTCCATATCCGGCCTGGAGAGGACTAGATGCTCAATCGGAAATATCAGCTCTTCAATTCGCCTATCATTCGATCATGACCACCATATTCCATATCACTGAGGGTGCAGGACACCAGTCTGTTGATATACGGGACCAGTGTTTGTTCGAAGCCCACCAGGGCATATCCTCGCTAGTATCGACATGTATATCTGCTGAAAGGCAAAACACAGTGGCTTTGTTACACTGGTAAGCGATGTCCCGCACATGGAGATAAGAACGAACCCTGACTATATCTTTAGGACACTTCTCGTCTGCCCCATCACCGCATACTTTGTGCTATTCTGCAATGTCATTGCGACATCAAATACTGACGACTTCAAACTCATGACAACGATTACCGATTGCTTAACTCGCATTGAAACAACAAGCCGTCCAATTATTCAAGTACGAACGATCTTCCGCCACTTTCTATCTCTTGCCGGAGAGGTTTTCGACGATGAGTCAAACGCAATTGTTGTAACTCGAGATCATCAAGTACAGCCAGTCCAATCCCAGTCAACTGACTTGCACAACTGGTTGTCTGACGGTCTATTTATACCTTGGACAGCTGGCACCGTTCCCCCGTTTGATCCGCCTTTACTGACTGGGATGGGGGATTTCTCTGATATACCCATTTTTCCGGAGAATGAGATGTTTATACCCCTTAGCGATCATTTCCCTGATGCGGGAAATGATCCTAGCGTCTGATTCTCTTCTCTGCAATTTCAAACTATCTCGCGCATATGTTTTTGAATCTAATTTATAATGTTCGGAGTATTTATTTCGGAGTTGGCATATTAAAATACAATGGTTGTCTTATGTCTTGCTCTACGAATACGCGCTAATATAGAAAGTGAAATTGCGATTCCACTTTTGAGTGGGCGTAGTTAAATGAGGTGGCTGTCTTACACACACAGAACGAAATTCCACGCAATGAAGCTACTAGTTCCAACCAAATTCGAGCCTATTAGACCCTGAATCTTAGTCAAGAACTGATGATGTAGTTTAATTATTTTGAGCCTCAATTCTGGTAAAATTAGAAAGAAAATACATAGCCGACTTGGATGGGGAAATTTGTTCCGACTATAAATAACCGGCGCCAAAGCACAATGTCTCAAATCTTAGAGACAAGGATAATACTATTATATATTAGGCAGAACTCTTAGCGAAAAGCTAATAGACTAACAGAATAGCGCAGGAATACGGGGTACATAGCTATTATATTAAACCACTTTCAATTCCCACTCCTTTCTCCTCAGCGATCTACCCATACTGTCTTTTCCGACTGCCTGTCACTACATTTGATTGCTAACTTCGCCGATCATTTCTTTTATTCGTTCTTTTATATCGTATCTACATATTTCAATCCTTATACCAATCTGATATTTCAAATGTTGTACTACTTGAAGTACGCCGCTGCGGGCTTGGCCGCTGCGACTCTGGTCTCAGGCCAAACGTACACCGACTGCAACCCGATGAAAAGTATCTCACACTCGATAATTCAGAATATAACATGTTCTAATATGTTATAGAAACTTGCCCCGCCAATCCTGGAACTACTGAGTCGAGCCACTTTTTTGACTTCACCCAGAGCTCGGGTCTAGACAAGTGGACCACTACTGCCGGCACCATCAAGACAGGCTCCAACGGCGCCGAGTTTACCGTCGGCAAGAAAGGCGATGCTCCCACCATCCAGAGCGACTTCTACATCTTCTTCGGCGAAGTATCGGTCACCCTGAAGGCAGCCCCCGGTACCGGCATCGTCAGCAGTATCGTGCTTGAGTCGGATGATCTCGACGAGATTGACTGGGTAAGACAACATACCCATTCTCTCCTGTATTTCGTACATCTAACCTCAATTCCTATATCAGGAAACCGTTGGTGGCGACACGACCCAAGTCGAATCCAACTACTTCGGAAAGGGAGACACCACGACCTACGACCGCGCGATCTGGCATCCCGTCTCGAGCCCACAGGAGGACTTCCACACCTACAAGGTCGTCTGGACCAAGGAAGCCACCACCTGGTCCGTTGACGGAAAAGTTCTCCGCACTCTAGCTTACAACGACGCCAAGTCCGGCACCAGATACCCCCAGACCCCCATGAACGTCCGCATCGGTATCTGGGCTGGCGGTGACCCATCCAATGCGCCCGGCACGATCGAATGGGCTGGCGGCAAGACTGATTACACCAAGGCCCCCTTCACTATGTATATCAAGGATGTCACTATTGTCAACTACAACCCCTCTGAGTCTTACACCTGGTCTGACCAGACTGGCTCTTACGAGAGCATTAAGTTCACCGGTTCTACTAACTCGACTTCCGAGAGCTCTTCGACTTCCAAGTCTTCCAAGACTTCTGAGGCTACCTCCACTGCCTCGATGACTTCGAAGACCACTGCGGCTACTACTTCTGGGTTAGTTTTTACTTCCTGCTCGTCTATTGGTGCTATATCTAACAGTTCTAAACTTTGTAGAAGCCTTATCTCTGCTTCCAACACTGCCACACCGTCTAGCTCTGCCTCTGCCTCCGGCTCCAGCTCCAACTCCGGCTCCAGCTCCAGCTCTGGCTCTAGCTCTGGCTCGAGTTCTTCTAGTTCCGCTTCCCCCTCCGCTTCTCCCGCTTTCAACGCGGCTTCGAACTTGAGCGCTGGTAGCTTCGGTTTCCTTTCTATCCTTGGTGCTATCTCTGGATTGCTTTTCTTGTAGATTAGTTACCTGATATTGGATTGTATCTATATATCGTCTGCCGTTGGTAGTTGATAGAAGATTCTTTTTTGGACTTTTCCCGTTCTCTTCTCTCTCTGTTTTTCTTTCCGGTTTATTGATTGGAATTATATATTCCTATCAAAATGAGTGTAGACACTAAGAATATCTAACTTTCCTATTTAGGAGAGCCCACGGGGGTTCGGAGTCACTTCACGTAACTGCGTGCTTTGATTTGATCTCTCGCCCCTTCCACTTCTTCTCATCCCCTTTTTCTCTTCCCCCTTTTCTCCTCTCTTCTCCAAAAGGGTCACCGAGATGGCAACAGCCATTTTTTTCCAATACGTGTTCTTTGCATGTATCTATTCCCATTTCTTCCAGGCATTTTCTACAGAGAGGAAAATACACCATCGCCAGTTCGATTTATCTTCGACAAAAGGCTACGGATACCAGCTCTCGGCGATCGAATCTCACTTTGAGCTGTTCATTTCTCGGCTTTATCAAGGTTAGCGGTCCAAAATGTCGACCCGGGAGATATTCTCAACTCCACGCTCTAGTAGACGACAAGTTGCATAACAGGATCCACGCGCTCCAAAATCCTGTGCCCTCCTTTGCGCGGATAAAAAAAGACAACATCAACGTGGACTGAATCAGAAAGAGATGCAAAGGCTTATACCTTCAAAGCACGGACCAAAGTAAAGTACTCCGTACTAACAGCGTCATCAAACCGGAATGTATCGATCCTTTCACCCTCATACACCCTTGATTACTACTAGACTATTAATTCTGAATGTACCTATTCCTTTGACTAGCTCATACCATAGCAATGCGCATTTAAATCTTCTTAAAAAATGACATATATTGTTGACAAGTCCTATCACAGCGAAAGTCAGACAGAAAAGATTATTCAACATGACAAGAAGCGGTATTCCCATAAATGAGCTACTAGTTAACTACAAAATATGTGTTCTACGCATGTTGCACTCTGCATATTGGCCGAGATGAAGCAGACTCAAATGTTGATACCGCATTGGAAGTAATTCTTTCAGGGAGAGTGAATGAGCGATGAGGTGCCGTCAGGGGATAGAGGTTCTGTGTCGGATGGAACAACGCGCCATTAAAATGCGATGCTTGGTGCAGTAATTCTTCCATCCTCTGTTCTTGACGTCTGCCGCCCTCCTCGATGCGATCGGTCGCAGACCTTTTGAATATTTATTAAAACCAAGTCGGGAGCTAAGATAATGGGTGAGGGCATACCATATGAGCGTACTCAAGAGAAGATTGATCGCATCTGTATGTGCTTCAAGCTTCTGTCGGTATTGACTCAACGACTTCCCTCTGAGATCCCACATAAACATCCGCCATTGAATTTTGACTCCAGTGGTGAATTTTTGCGAGAATTTGAGACCTCTACCTCTATAGCTTCGAGGCATTGGGACAGGCTCCTTCACTGCTTCGCGGTACTTTGCTGTTGCTTTTTCCAGTTCTTCTAGGGTTTGACGGCACGAGCGGATCATGAACCCTAATTGCCCTTGTATGTCGCTAGTATCACAGTATGATCTCGACAACACCGTATCAGAGACTCCCTGTAAGAGGTTGAAAGAACAGTGCAAGCTAAATAAAGTATCTTCGAGTTCTTTGAGGCCACGCGGTGCATTCTTCCGACCAGATGTTGCGGCAGCGAAGAGTCGATAGGTAATTTGACTGCAAATTATGATATCCCCGATTGACAGACCAAACGACATTTCATGTTAAATTGGCAGTGAAGCAGAGTAAGGAAGATTTTAGCCGAAATCAATGACTTTCCAAAGGGGGGAGTCAAATAAAATCAAGTCCATACTGGTAACAAGAGAACTTGTACTTAAAGTTGCCAAAGTTGTGAAGGTCCTTGGAGGCATTCACTTATACTCTGATTGCGTTAGGTGCATGTGCGCCACATGTACTTGGACACATCGTTCTTATAATGAGATGAATATGATTCGGTACTTCACGTATTTCAGGTATCCCTCATGCTACTCTGCATGTTAAGTGTCACATACAGTAATCCTTGTTGGTGGGCCCCAGATAAAATATTCTCACTGGATCACAAATTGAAAATTAAGTACCTTTTATATAGTACCTCTTTACAAAAGATACTTATATGCCCAAAAGTCGTAACCTCAATTTTCTCAACATTCAGACTAAGATAAGTCCTAAAAATGTCGCCGTGTGGTTGTGTTGTTTTGGGTGTACTTTATGTGTATTTTGTTTATTTGATAGACCGTAGCCGCGATTATAATAAAGTATCTAACTATCAACAAAGACAGTCGAACCAAAAGAAATAAGAAAGAGAAAGAAGGGAAATGTGATATAGAGCACATGTACAAATTTGAGACCGAGGCGATGCAAAGCAAGGGAATAATGCAAAGGTTTTGTGTACAAGGCTGTAGCCTAGGAAAAGAAGGTTGTAGTGAATGGAAAATGAAAAGGGAGATCCGGGAAATAGACAAAAAAACTTCACATATCCAACCATGCAAGTTCTGATGTCACCATCACCAACCAAAGATCTCCCCAACACTGAGAGTACTCCAGCGCACACCGCCGACAGCAACGACCATCAAAACAACATCGACAACAGTCAGCACTACCGATCCCATCATGAAACGAGGGCTGAAGATACGGTAGAGCATGAGATGGCGACGGAGATGACCGGCCCACATAGTTGTGGCGAGATTAATAGTCGCCAGATAGAGGATATGTGTTCCGGCGGCCTGTACGACATCGGAGAGGATGCGTGTGGCTGGGTTCTTGTTGGGATTGGAAGCTGGGACACGGTCATGAGTCTGGAGGGGACGTTTCCAGAGGACGGTGAGGGGGACTGCGATGGCGGCTAGGATCTGTGCGCCGAAGGTATTGAGGATAACAAGTAGTGGGGACCAAGGGTATTGGATTGTTGTGAGGGGGATGAAAGCTGATTCCCACTGGATGCTGGAGAGAGTGGCCTGGTGGCCTGTTTTGAAGTAGTAGAAAGAACCGAGGACGCCGAGGATGACGGGCCCGATGGAGGAGTTTGACATTGTTAGGTTGTTTGTGTCGAGGATTTCGAGGAGAGAGAGGATTTGCCAGAGGAGGAGGGCGATGGCGCCTTGGCCCATTGGCTTTTGCATGAGGATGATGGCGAGGGTGAAGTTGATGAGGAGGAAGCAGAAGTGGGTTCCGTAGACGTTGCCGAAGCCGAGGATTGTGACTGTTGTTCGTGGGCCTTGTTGCTGGCCGGCGACTATAGGGGTCGGTGGGCTGTTGGGGTCCTCGGTGGGTTTGCTCACGTTGATGCTGACGCAGGGCTTGGAGTAGAAGTATGCTGCAGTGCCTGCTGCCAACGCGAGGGCGAGGACGAACTGGGCGAGGAAGACGCGGACGAACTTGAGGGTTTCGTTGCTTACGGGTAGCCACTCGCCATCGTCGGCGGCTTCGAGAATCCAGAATAGGGAGGTGGTGAAGAGACCGAAGCGGAAGGCAAAGCCTATCCATAGCGATGCGGCGCCTTCATAGGACTTGGAGCCGGCGTAGAAGGACCGCACGACGCTAGGCAGGAAGAGTGTGACTAGGAAAGGAATAGCAAGTTGCCAAGGTGCGGAGGTGGATGAAGTCGATGAAGCATAGTACGTGGAGCGGCAGAAGGGCATCTGTTCTTCACGGCAGAGGCGGGAGAAAGACGCGATTCGGCCCAGGATCAAGAAGAGAATGGAGTGGTACACACCCAGGATTCGGTCCGTGGTCTGTTTCTGTCGCATAGACGAGATACCCGCGCACACGCCGAAGGTAGTGAGGAAGAACAGAAGAATTTCATCTTCCCAGATAGTGTACGAGTTCGAGGCAAATCCAACAGACTGAGATACGGTAAAGAAAAGCGCAAGCCATCCCCACATGCCGTTCGGAAGAGGCAGGGACAGGTTCGCGGGCTTCTTAACAAGAGCCGGCGTGGCTCCAAGGATGCTTCCAGCAGCAGCGAACAGCACGGTTCCATCGATCATAGACATCTCGGTCAGGCCAGTTAAACCCAATGCAGAACCGGCCACGGCACCAACGCCAGCACCCATGCTTGCGAATTGAAGCAGACGAGATGTGAGTTGGGTTCGATCTGTCTTCAAGCCTCGCGCATAGATGATCAACAAGATAATACTAGCAAAGAGAATTCCAACACCTTGAATCATGCTTGGCACATCAAATCGAGCCCACAATCCACGGCAGATATCAAGAGTGCGACGCTGGTACTTGCGGTAGAGTTCATTGCTAGCGCGAGCAGCGGTCGACTTGGAGGAGAACCCCTTGGAAGCAGACTTCCACTCCTCTTCTGCAGCAGTCCAAAGCAAATCCGATTCCTCGTCATCACCAGCACCTCTAGCAACCGCATATTCGTGCTGATATCTCTTGACCTGGGCTGCAGTCAAACGGTTGACAGTCGCCAAGTTTGCCCAGTTGTTCCCACGTGGGCCAGAGAAAACCTCTTCAATAGGCGAGCCTAGGTTGTTGAATGGGATGGGCATTCCAAGGAGCAAAGACAGCGTCGGAACGAGGTCGATTTGAGGCACGAATCTGTCGCGCGCGAGTTGGGGCGGGAGTAGCGTATCTTTGCTTGTGCGTCCGAAGATGCCACGCTTAGAGTACATCCACAACGCGGCCTCAACCTCGTCATCAGACTCGCCGCCGTGGTCGCCCTTGACGTCCATCCCGTGATCTCCCATGACGACCAGAAGAGTCTTATCATCGAGCGCAGCAATAATGTCGCGAATAACACGGTCCATTTCCTGGAGCTTGGATGCCATGGCAGCATGGTTAGGGCCATATCTGTGACCTGCATGATCTACGCCGAGATAGTGGCCAAAGATGACATCCCATTTCTTGCTGTTCTCCGGCCGGAGGAGCGGGAAGAGATGCTCATTGACGCCGTTGTCGACGGTGTGCAAGTCCCAGACATTGAACGAATCATACGCATGCGTGAGATTGGGATCAAAGTATCCCGGGAACAGCGCCTGCCAGGTATCATCGCCGAGGTGAACCAGGTTCTTCCCGGCGCTATGCAATTGTGCGACAAGATTGTCCTCATCGATAGCGGTTCCGGCAAAGTTGGAGCCTGCGTCCAGGAAGGTGGGCAGGGTTCCAGTGGTCAGACCTTTCAGGCGGTTCAAAGTGGTTGTCGGGGGATCCGCAATGAATGGCAGGAGGAACGCGTTGGCGGGGTTTTGCACTGCGGTCTCATAGAAGACAGGGATGTTGTTGTGGAAGAGGTGGACTGTGTCACTCTCTCCCTTCGAGGCGAATGGTACAGTGAAGTCATAGCGGAGGGCGTCGATTATGATGACAACGGCCTTGTCAAATGTTTTCTCGTGCCAGCAGCCTTTCTGCTGTTTACTCCCCAGGTTTGTGTGTGGTTGGGCCAAAATGCCCTCGAAAGGCAATACGTCGCATGATGATTTGTTCTCAAGGACCATGCGCGTGAGAAGGAACCCTTTCGTGAACAGATAAATACCGGCGACATGCAAGAGTCTGTCATTGATCCGAGGTCAGTTCAGATTTATTTTTCAACGCGTCAAGCGAGCAGCGGGCCTTAAACCTCAAGCTCTGCTAGCCTGCGAGGCTTGAGAAGGAACCACTCACAATATCCACGCCAGAACACCCATCACACCAAAATGTTTAGCCTTGAACTCATCCTCAAGCTCCAGCGCTTTCTTATCCAACAGAGCAGCTTGCTTCCGCTTGGACTGCTCGCTAGCCGATTGATCGGAGCTGCGAGGGGTGGAAGCTGGAAGACCGCTTTTAGGGCCGTTAGGGTTTGGGCTAGCCCCCATAGTCCCTGCAGGTGGTGTGACTACCATTTCCAAGGTCTATTGTATGGTCTCAGGTCGAGGTCGAGGGTAGCCGGCGCGCCAGGTTGCAGGTCTGGCTGCTGGAGGCCGAAGGAGCACTGAAGGGACCGTGACCGATGAATACGGTGTGTATTTCAGGGGCAGGGAAGCCGAGAGCAAGCACGATTGAGCCGATTTAACCGGTTCAAGCGAGATCCATCGAAGTCGGAGAAAAAGTATAGGCGGGGGTCGGAGGAGATTGCGGAGGTCTGTACCCCTTTCTGTGCTCTGTCGAACGGCTTCCCTATATATCAAGAAGCTATAGCATGGACATAGTTTGAAGGAACAATGTATACAAATCCCAATTAGGGGGAAAGCTGTTTAAGAGAAGAAAAATAATTCGTGACAGTCGCGGAACCCACGGGTTGGGGAACTCGGAATCGGCGTTTCTGATTGGCCGGCTGCGGATACATTGCGGAAGTTCCTCCAGGGTCATAATCCTTGCGGGTTTCCTCATTGGACATACGTGTTGTTGAATTGAAAGTTCCCATGATAATGTGACAAGAGAAGTAACAGAATTTTGGAAGAATAAGAGTCACCGTTGCTTTGTGCTCATCTTTGAGCTCTCGGTCTTCAATGTTATTTTCTAGATGCGAAACGGTATCTTCAATCTCGCCAATCCACAAATACCTCGTCTGTCCGGAACCGTTGGGTGCAGGTAGATTCCTTCAGGGGAGTCTGGAAGCCCGTTTTATACGCCATCATGCCCGCCTGAGCAATCATGATCCCGTTATCAATGCAATATCGCTCATCTGTAGCAAAAACAGAGCCACCCCGATCCCGCGCCATAATCCCCATCATCTCCTGTAGTCGCTCATTAGATCCCACGCCACCGACAATGAGCACCTGCTTGGAACCGACATGCGCCATTGCGCGCTCGGTGATCTCAACCAGCATCGCGTACACCGTCTCCTGTAGGGAGAAGCAGAGGTCGGCGCGAGTGGGTTGATCAGCAGGGCTCTGATCAGTCTGCTCTTGTTTATTCAGGCCAAGAGACACAGCCAGTGCGTCAATCGAAGCTAGGATACCAGAAAACGAACAATCCATGCCCTTGACTACATATGGGAGATCAACAAGCCGACTCCCTTTCTTTGCGAGCTGCTCAATATTGTACCCAGGGAACGGATCGTTAGGAATATGTAGCGTGCGTGCAAATCGATCCAGACAGTTTCCGACAGCGATATCCAGTGTCTCACCGAAGATGCGGTATCGTTTATCACTATACGCGATGACCTGTGTGTTGCCGCCAGAGACATAGAGGACGACGGGATTCTCAGCGCCGGTAATCAGACGGCCCATTTCGATATCTAGAACGTCGAGTTATATAAGCCATTTCGTATGAGAGCACATGCAAAGAATAATCCGGTAAAATATTCAATGAGTAGTCGCAAAAGGGTTAAAGACATACGTCCGACACAGTGATTCACTGCAACCAATGGTTTATCCCAAAGTAAACTCATCATCCGCGCGGCAATAGCTACGCTCTGCAGCGGGGCACCCATCCCAGGGCCTTTAGTGAAGCAGATACAGTCCACATCTTGCGGTGACAAGGATGCCTCTTGGAGAGCTGCCTTCACCATCTTGACAACCCATGCCCGGTGGTGACGCGCGGTATCCTTGGGTAGGAAGCCCTCGCCTGGTGGGGCATTGTAGGTGTGTCGAACATTTGCGAGGACCTGGGGTGTGCTGCCATCTGTGGGATGTAGGATGATGCCGATTGCCACCTTGTTGGCGGATCCTTCCATGCCGATGGCGATCATGGCTATTGATCAATGAGGGATCAGTTGACGAATATCTTTGTACCAAATGTCAGTAGTAAAGTTCGACTCTACCGATTGGGATGGTTCATCCCTCAATCTGGCAATTTGTGGGCACCTGTGTGCTTATGTAATACACAGCAAGCACTAAACGTAACGGCCAGACCTATCCATACAGAGGTTCACCGACTATACACACAAAAAAGAATAAAAAGACATGAGAAGAGGACAGATTTCAGATTTGCCTAAATACGGCGAAACATAGGAGGACTAAGTACATACATTATCCAGCTGCCGAGTACCAGGTAAAAAAAAAAAAGGCACATGAGAAAGGAAGTAAAATAGAGGGGCCCCTAAAACATAAAAATAGGACCCCATAAAGTGGGGGGTAAGAAGAGAAAATCAAAAGCAGGAATACTGTCACATGTATATCAGACCCTAGGAACGTAGCAGGGACGAAACTGACATGAGGAACCAGGCTTAAGAAATCAAACGCCAGAAAGCAAAGAGAAAAATCGGCAGGCCCTCGCTATGAACGATCCAGCTTCAATGAATATTGGAATCCAAGCAGTGTGGGTACCCAAGAGTCTGTCCAGAAACCGGGCGTTCCGACGATGTGCTTTAGCGAGACCAAAACAGAAACTGATGGGCATATGTGCAAGCCATGTAGGCCAAATCAGGGAAGGAAGGGTATGTAAGAGGTAGAATCGAAAAAAGGGTTGCCAGGGTACTCGTCATGTTTTGAGAAGTCGTCGAAGGTTGAAGAGAAATTGAGCGCTATGCGGGCGGAATACACGGTCGGTCAATTGGGCGAGTTAGTTTGATCACACGCCTTTACTGATATATCTTGGTCTCTTTCTCCTTCAATCCACCCATCCGCTCAAGGTCCAGAGACTGGAAGCGACCGGTGTCGGTGCTCTGGTAGGGCGGAAGCTCCTCGTGGCAGGGTTCCAAGCCGATGCTACCCGCATCACTAATTCGGACAACGACCATGCGGCCAGAGGTACGTTTGCCGCTGGCATCCTCCTCCTCTGGGAAGGTAATGCGGATCTCGGGCACAGGGCTAGGTGGAGGGCTGTAGGAGTTCTCCATGAGGCTGCGTTTCTCATCATAGACAAGCACGGAGTCATTTTTGTTCGTGGAGATAGTTAAACGGCGTCTGTTGAGAGACTCTCCATTATGAACTGGGAGCAAGTTTTGCTTCCGAGACTGACGCTTGCGGCGGAGGATGAGCAGGCCACCGACCAGAACGAGGGAGAGCAGAATGAGAACCAGGAGGGCGATGAGGAGGTCGACCATGGCGTTTGAGAGTCCGCTGTTGCTGTCATCGCGAGCAACGATACGGGGGAATAGGTTGTTCATCTTGTTGATTGTTGATTGTCGGTTGTCGAGGGTTGGATTTTCGATACCGGGTTTGAGAAGTGTGTGATCGGAAATCGACAGATATGTATGTGATCGTCGAGTTCGGATTCCAAAGAAGGTCACGGAATTAATCCGGGGAAGTAAACAGTGAAGCGCGATAGAATGTGCGTGCAGATTATCGGTCACGAGATCGTGTCGAAAAAAAGACGAAGAATTGGAAACGAGAGTGAGTAAGTTAAAGAAAGAATGGACAGCAAGGTGGGCCGCTGAAAGAGTGAAGCTGGCACCTGCGAAGGAAAAGAATGGAGGGGATGGATGAGAATGAAGGGAAAACAGAAAAGGGAGGAAGGGGAGAAGAGGAGAAGGGTTGTAAGCCTAGAACGCTTTGCTATTGTTAGTGTAGAGCTAAGCTATTCAGAGCTTAGCGTCGTTCCTTGGGTGTTGCTCGGGGCCTCTTGGCCGCAGGGGTCAGCCAATCACACCCGATTAGTGCCTGGAGAACGGACCCTCCGGAGGCTATTTGCGCACTCTCATTCGTCATGTTGCTCCACCGAACTATGCCTGTTTATTTTGGTTCCCCTGAGGCCCACGCTCGTGAACTCGCATAAATATATGAAATCCGGAGTATGTTGTACATACTTTGTGGTATATATGTACATCATAATCTTCAAAGTAATGTTTTATAAAATAAAAAAAAAGATAGACGGTCACGGCTATCACTTAGTCTGGTCTCACAAACGTCAATCACTCGGATTTTGGTTTTGACGCAATAAAACAAAGGTAATTGTCTACATAGCATCATGATTTGTGCTTTCTCGAGGCTGATGCTCGTGCATAACTATGTTGAAAGCAGGAAATGAGTGTTTCAAATATCTGTGGAGGGAGATTAGATTTCATTGCACCTGATCTTCGAGACATATAAACAAAGCCCTAGTACGCGTGAATCAACATAACAGCTTGTATAAAAAAATAGCAGCCATTGTTTATTGATAAATAAACAAAAACAAGTAAGAAATGAATAATTTATTTTGAAACAGTCGAGTTATCATATCATATATGTGAAGTTGACTTGGTTGTTGAAATAAACCGAGGTGCGTAGACAAGCACCGAAGATCAACCGTGTTTAATATGTTGTACCTTTTTCTATTGTAATCAGTACCATAATTAATATCTAAATTCATTCCGATAGGACTGTTTAAAAATAAAGTAATCTGTTAGGCTGGGATGTCTGCCTAGATGGATATATATAAATAGTAATCACACGGTGAAAATATATATCATAATGGAACAAGCAATTCTGAAGAAATCTTCTGGGTTATAAGTAGTGGCAATAAAATACAGAGTAAATATCTAGACACCCAAAAAATAAGATCATTATAGCCAGTGTTTGCCACATGTTGGAATCAATCGCCTAAACTGCATGTATCCTTTTTACATGGATTTTGCCGTCACATCGGGGACACACAGCACACGGGCACGCGGTCCCAGTCCCACAAATAAAGTGCTCGGTTTCACACAAGTACTTGTTGTGAGGCTTTCAGTTCTTCCAGTTCTGTTTTACTTAATTAGTAGGAGGATGGAGCTAGGAGAGCTATTCCTTCATCATATAATAAGCCCTGAGCGTGATCTTGGGGCGACGGCCCATGCTGCCTGAGGGTATTTAATGTACTTTTCAAATCTTCTTTGACCAATATTGTAGGTTGATTTGCAAAATTTAACCTGATTAGTGGCCTGTACTTTAAGTCCTTATATGTGATGTGGGCGTTTGACTAGTGTGCTGACACACAAGAGACATTAATGGAAGTGTATACCGGGCTTTCGGGATTTGATTTAAAGCTAACCTTGGAAGCCACTTCCTCCAGCTGACAGAAATTTGCCATCAATTCAAAATGTTCGTAGGCTAGTGTCGATGTTCTAGTGGTGATTTGATGCTCTAATGAAACTCACCCCGGGCTTCCATTGATACTGCCAAGACCTGACACTCGAGATCAAGAACACAACCAACACCACGTCGCTATCGAAATTGGTCAATTGCTCTGACTAGAATGTCCTACGCTATCTTGGCGTACATCGTAGTGGACAGACTCTGCACCATTTTCAATGCGGTCAGGGGCCGCCAACACACAAATTCGATACCTCACAAAAGTCGGAGAAAGGTCGATCATTACAGGAAAAGCAACAACCCAGTACCCGGAATCTGGTAGCACGGCCAACGCCTGATAGTCTCTGCAAGCCGGCGGTCACCGCGCTCGGAGCTACGAAGTGTGCCTCAGTCTACAGGAGTTGGACGCAAGGTAGGCAGTGCCCCTCAAAGATCAGATCCGGGGAAGGTTTCTGCGAGTGATAGCCTGACACTTGACCTGTGCAACCCCTGTGCAAGGATCCAAAGGCGAGTATCCTTGTCAGACTCTCAGGCTCTCCCTTTGTCAGTCGATGTCTCGGCCTTTTTCCAATCTCGCCGGGAGGGATTACACCGCGATGACTGGACACCGCAACGTTGACGGCAAATGTTCACCAATATACGCTAGATGACGACCATTCTTTTTTTTTCTTTCTCGTCTGGGTTTCCACTATGGGCTTCTGACTCAGTCAGTGAGCACTTTGGTCTCGTCATTTAACAGGCTCCCACACTTTACCCACATATTCATCCAAGGGTCAGTGTGACGATGCGCCGAAGCAAGGGGCTGGCCGAGTCTACGGAAGTCTACCCAGTCGAGAAGCTTTTTTATGCGGATAATTCGTCTGGGTCTGGGACCCCTCAAGGCCCGAAGCGTTATTCTATCGACGGCCTCGCGCGAGACTATTGCACAACTCGCAGTTGGAGTTTGACTTGATCATTGATCTATTGAGAGTTAAAATCAAGGGATTGAAAAGCAATACCAATACCCGCGCACGGCCACGGATGAAAAACAGACAGAACATAAACAAAAATCCCCCCCAAAAATAAAAAAAATAAAAAACAGTCAAAACAGTCAAAACACAAGAACGAAATGAATTCCCCCTCACCCCATTGAGTTCCTGACCAGGCGGAGAAAGCAAGCCAACGAGACCTTGCCAATCCTGGAATGGCAGGTAATCCGCAGGTAATCCACAGTTAGGAAGGTGGCGGCCCTTGGCTCTTTCTGTTAAGAATGTTTCCGGATCCAACCGGACGTTATACATTTTAAAGAGGAAAGAGTATTAATTTCAGATCTAGACTTGATAACATCCCAAGATAGGGCATAGGTATAGATAGAGTGTACCTTACTTTGTGGTTAAGACTAAAGTGGGAGGGGCTTAGTGGGCCCGATCGGACCTCCAGGAAACCTTCAATCTTTAAGATAAGCTGTTGCCGAGAATTACAGTAAAGCTTCATTTGGTATAAGGTAGACCACATCGGCTTTGAAGCTGACTACAATGTTGCTTTTCCCTGATTTTTTTTCAGCGAAAAACCTTCTCATGTTAGGCACCGGCTCCATTCGGGAGTATGTTCTGCCTATATAGAGGTTCCATGGTCAACACGATGCCAGGCAGTTCTTTAATGGAGTGGATAGGAACTTTTGGCCGAAGTGTTAAATTTCTCCAATTGTGACTTCAGGTTTGCCCGTTCACCCCTAATATATGGCCCATTCGGTACTGTTCCAGGGACTATTTGTTGGTGTATTAAGTTGGACCATGGGAGATGAGGCGACTATTTACCTAATAGGGCAGTGTAGAGACGGGTTGTATAAAGAAGAATATAATGTAATAGATGTAATAGAATGAAGTTCAATAAAAAGATGTATACTTATAAAAAGTAAACAAAGTATATACAAAATATATGATCTATACTTCATACTCTGTCACAATATGATGTACAGTAAAAACAAGACAAAGAGATGGGGCCAGGCTAAGAAAGAAGCGCCGGGAGGCAGATCGCGGTGACGGTCAGATACGTGCGCCATAAACAAATGGCTGAAAAGATACTTGGGTTTACCGCCAAACTCTAACCTAAACCCAGTATCTTCATATCCTGACCAGGATCAATTTATTCACATGGTTATGGTATTACGCGGCAATACAGCGGCTGATCTGCCTAAGAAATCATCTTTCTTCTTGTTATCTATCCAATTGACTCTGATTCGGATTCTTTTTTTCTTTTCTTTTCCTTCTTCTCTTTTTTTCGTGTGACTCTTTTTTTTTTAATTGTCTTCCTTTTATTTCAACCGTCTCCTCTTTTTTTTTTTGACCTTTCCTTTTTTTCTCCCTCCATCACCGCCTCGAATAAACCAACCCACCCCCCCCCCNACAAAAAAAAACCCTTGGGCTGTCATGCTGGCGCCTGTGTGACAGCTGGACTACATTAATGCCGTGCCTTGTCTCTCGTCCACATTCCCTTCCATCGATCCACTGAATCCCAGATTCTCATCCTACTTGCGCGAGCGCATTCCATTATCCTCTCTTAGTTCCTCGAAAATCTTCCCCCCTCAGACATCTCAAACCACCCCTTGCCTACGCCAATCAATCTAGGGTCCCCCAACGTTCTGATTACCATTCTCGGGGATCGCCTCTCCACAAGGCACATGAGGACGATCTGCAAACTGGGAGATTCTTGGAGCATGCACGGAGCAGAGTAACGTCGCGGCGCCTCCTCAATTCTGAACACTCCGGCTACCAACTTGCAACCCCACAGCTGCAGCAAACGAAAGGGTGATAATAATCGTTCCAATTCTTTGTCACCTTGCATCTTCTATCACTGTCGGGCTCGATCGACCTTCCTGCCACTGTCAGCATTTCTCGCCTCATTCAGAGCTCGTCGCTCTTCCTCCCTTCCGTCTCCCTTCCTCTCTTGCTCCTGTATAATCTGTACATGTCCTGGGTTCGCCTTTGAGCAATACAGAAGACAACATTCGTTTTCTGCATTTCGCTCTTTCTTGTGATCCCTTCTATCCCCTCCTTTGGTGAGCCTTCCCTTTCAGACACTAGCATACCCCAAGTGCCCTTGTACCTTTCTCCACATCTGGCATCCCGTTGCAACATCT